GAACTGTTCAGAGCCACCACTGTGTGGTGCCAGGGATGGGAGGGGTTATGCATGATGGATGTTAGTTTTACCAGCATCCTTCTGTCCACCACCTCCTCGATGGAATCCAGAGAGCAGTCCAGGACAGAACCAGCTCTCTAAACCAGCTTGTTTAGTCCTTTCTGTACCTGACCGTGCTACTTCCTGCCCAACCCACAACAGCATAAAAAACTGCAGATGCCACCACAGAATCATAAAATGTTTGAAGGAGTGCCCCACGCACACCAAAGGACCTCAGTCTCCTTAACAAGTGGAGGCGGCTCTGGCCCTTCCTGTACAGGGCATCTGTGTTGTTGCTCCAATCCAGCTTATTGTTGAGGTGGACACCCAGGTATTTAAAGGTGTCCACAATCTCAATATCTGAGCCCTGCAAGCTTACCAGCGTGAGTGCTGGTGATTTCCGCCAGGGGTCAATCACTATCTCTTTTGTCTTGCTGGTGTTGAGGACCAGGTGATTTTTCTCACACCACTTCACAAAGTCAGTAACAACCCTCCTGTATTCCCCATCGTCCCCCCCAGATATACATCCAACAATAGTGGTGTCGTCTGAGAACTTTTGTAGATGACACTGGTGGGAGTTGTACTTGAAGTCCGACGTGTAGAGGGTGAACAGAAAGGGGGAAAGCACCGTCCCCTGGGGCGCCCCTGTGCTACAGTCTGCCACGTCCAACACACAGTCCCGCAGCCTGACAAACTGAGGTCTGTTTGTGAGGTAGTTAATGATCCACGCAGACAGGTGTTGGTCCACATCTGCCCCCTCCAACTTCCCCCTCAGCATTGACGGCTGGATTGTTTTGAAAGCACTGGAGAAGTCAAAGAACACGACCCTCACAAGACTTCCGGGGGACTCCAGGTGAGATAGGGCTCGATGCAGCATGTAGATAATAGCGTCGTCTACCCCGATGCCAGGTCGATATGCGAACTGCAGCGGGTCCAGCGCTGAGCTCACTTGGGCACGGAGGTGGCCAAGGACAATCCTCTCCATGGTCTTCATCAGGTGGGAGGTCAGGGCAATGGGTCTGTAGTGGTTTGGCTCCTTGGGATGAGTTATTTTAGGAACTGGGACCACACAGGATGTCTTCCACAGAACCGGAACTCTCTCCAGGCTAAGACTCAGATTAAACATGTACAGGACCACTTCACTGAACTGCTTTGCACAGCCCCAGGGTCCTCAGGGATGTGGTCATCAGCTGATGTGGTCAGGGCCTGTGGCCTTCTTGGCTTTAATCCTCCTTAACTCCCTCCTGACCTGGTCCATCGTGAGGCTGAGGGAACGGGTGGGCAGTGACTGCTCAGGAGCTGTGGGCTGTTGGGAACCCCCCATGACAGTGGGAGGAGGGGCAAGGTATGGCTGAGGTGTGAGCAGCTGTAGCTGCGAGGGGACAACTGACCTAGAGAGGTGAGACGGGGGCACTGGCATGGTGGGGGACTTGGTAGAGTCAAATCTGTTAAAAAACAGATTCAGTTCATTTGCCCAGGCCTTGTTCCCCGCAACCTGGTGACCATCACCACTTTTACCATGACCTGAGATGTGTTTTAGGCCTCTCCACACCTCACGCACGTTGTTATTTTCCATGCTCTGCTCCAGCTTCTTCCTGTAGCTAGCCTTGCACCTCTGGATCATGTACTTTAGTTCCCGCTGCACTCTGCTCACCTCCTCCTTGTCCCGTGAGAGGAAAGCCCTCTTCTTCTCATTTAGCAGTACTTTTAACTCGGGGCTCACCCATGGCTTGTTATTGGGAAAACACCATACTCTTCTGGATGGCACCATATTTTCCACACAGAAGTTTATGTAATCCAAAACACAGTGTGTGAGGCCGTCTATGTCCTCTCCATGAGGACTACAGCGGATGTCCCAGTCTGTGGTGTGAAAACAGTCTCTCAGCTGCTCAATTGCTTCTTCTGTCCATACCTTTACTACCCTGACCTGAGGTGACACCTTTTTCACCACTGGAGTATACACAGGAATCATGTGGACAAGGTTGTGGTCAGAACGACCTAGAGAGTGGAGGGGGGCGGGGGTGTATGCATTTCTGGCATTTGCATACAGGAGGTCCAGAGATTTA